CTCAGCTAAACTCCATGTAGTCATGAAGATTTCTGTTATTCTTTGTGGTCCCTGTGAATCACACGCATGGGGCTTTTCTGCACATCCATGAAACCGTGGAATCTTGAATCTTCCATCGAATGCAAGAAGGGAACAGCCCTCACCCTCCCTCCGAGTAGACGGAGGTCATTCTCCTTTCAGCCATTGAGAACTGTAGCTGCTCTCCCTAGTACCTTTTATTTCCCTCACTCTTCAGATTTCCATCCTTCCCATTTTCCCGATCCTCTGTGAGTCCTTCTCATTTTTCCTCATCCTTAGTGAGTCTCAAAGAAGAAAAGAGAGAAAGGGGAGCTATTTTTTGTTCCCAGTTCCCCAAATATTTTTCTTGCCATTTCATGGCTCCAAAGGAACCCCCTTTCAGAAGATACATCTGTTGTTCTGATAAATTGCCCAACAGTGACAGCCATTCGCTCTGCCTGTATTGCCTGGGTGAAGCTCACCAGCCCTGAGTCTACCGTCTTTGTTGAACTTTCACCAAGCTTGGATTGAAGGACTGGCAATTGAAGAGAAAAAGACCACCTTCTGGAAGCCCATCCCAGCAACCTGCATGCTCGGTATTCATCCATCTGATCTGTCTAAAGCCGTATTGTCTATGTTCATGACGGGAATCTTTAAGCATGGTTTTATTTTGGCTTTGCCTGTCTCTGTGGAAGCTGAGGAGCAATATTAGACAAAGCCCCTCTGAAAACTGTAGCCAGGGAGTCAGGAGGTACAATTCTGTGACTCTAGTATCACCATTTGGCCCCTTCCCCCCTCTGTTTTGAAACCACCACACATATTTGGCTTGACATTCACTCCAGCCTGGCTAAAATGTTCTCCTTTCTCAGCCCAAGGGCAGCGAAGCTCACTCGGGAAGGAAGGGAGCGAACCTGTCTCCATCAGACAAGATCAGGACAACAACCTGGACAAGGAAACCTACAACATAGTAAAGCTTTTCTCCTGGGACACGGGGAGACAGGAGGGGAAGTGCCTGGGAGTCCTACTGAATCCTTCCCTTCCCTGTCCCACCCAATTTGAAGTGGTTGGGGAAGGAGGATGAGTGACGCAGGAAGGTTGAAAGGTCCTCTTTCCAGCTCTGTTGTGCCGCTGATGTGCACCTTTGCTCTCTCCTCCTCTCTTCCCTGTTCCTCTCCAAGTGCAAAGAGACAATGTGGCTGGTCAGAAAGGCACTGAAGCAACTGGAGGAGCCGGACAAGGGGCTTTCTCTGCAAGACCAGCTGGCGCTCAAAAGAACCTCCCTGCGGAAGATCCGAGAACACATCTCAGAATGCTTGAAAGCATATTCTGATCAAGAGGAGATCAGGCTGTGGAGAACGTAATTTCCCCCCCTCTCTCTGCTAATCACCAAATCACCTACTCCCAGGACACAGAAACAGAACCCCAGATTGGACAATGCAAAAGGGGCTCGCTTGGCTGTCCACGGGTACCCGTAGATGAGTTACAGACATTACAGTGGAGCAGAAGGTGGGTTGAGTTGAAAGGAGGATGGGGATTTTAGTCCAATGATATTTGGAGGATGGCCCAGAACCCCTCTAGACTGACTGGAAATGGTTGTGTCGGCCAACATCTTGGGAATTGATGCCAGGATGGAACTTGGCCTGTTTTTCGTCAGAACTCGTGCATGACCATGATCTTTCCTTGAGGATTATAGGAAGCTGCTGGATACCCTGTCAGATCTTTGGTCCATCTAGCCAGAGGTTGGAGTACTTTCTCTGTGCTGGAAAAAGTGTGGTGGGTGACACAGACCAGACTGTAGGATGAATTTCCTGGGCTGTGTCTTTTTTTGATGGCTCTTTGTGTCCTAGCCCTGGGATGACCAAAGTTACTGCCGAGAGAGGGCAGGGAAACTGACACCATCTAAAGGGCTTTTCTCTCTCTCTCCCTTCTGGTTAGCTGCTTCTGTACCACCTTCCTCTGGAGAGAAGGTTTGGGGCTTCCAAGCCAAGATGGCAGTGGAAGAGTGGGTTTCAAATTGTTATTCAACCATTTGCAAGAACAAATCCTCATTTTATCTTCCAGGAACCTGTGGATATTTGCGTCCAAGTTTACTGAACTGGATGCAAGGAAGCTCCACAAATGCTATAAGACGGCTCACAAGAGGCGGCTGCAGGATGAGGAGGTGAGGTTCAAAAACGAGATGTCTGTCTCTTTCAAATCGGTGCCTTGGGGACAGACTCTTGACCCTGAACAGCAGAAGAGAGATTGAACTAAATAAATAAAGGAATAAAAAAGAATGTACAGCGGTTCCTTGACTTACGAACTTAATCCGTATTGGAATTGCGTTCGTAAGTCAAAACGTTCGTAAGTCAAAGCAGCATTTCCCATAGGAATGTATTTTAGAAATTATTTTAAAAGCAAAAGACTAAATGCATTTTAGACCCCAGCAGCCACCAGAAGAAACTTTTGCAAAACCATTTCTGATTTTAAAAGCAAAAGACTAAACTGCATTTTAGACCACCACCCCCAGCAAAGAGAACAAAGCAAAAAAGGATGCAAGACACATTGAAAATAGGGGGGGACCTCAAAAAGCAACCAACCCCCCCAAAGATCCATCTGAGATGGGAGGGAACCAAAAAAACAAAGAAATTCCCCAAGACCCATCAGAAATGGAAAAAAACTCCAAAAAGAACCAAAACCCCCCAATGGAAATATGGAGGGGAACCCAAAAAACAAACTTCCCCCCCAAAGACCCATCACAGCACGGAAACATTGCCTGAGCCAGGAAGGGTGTGTGGGTCTGAGGGCTCCCTGTGCCCCCCCCCAAAGTCTCTTCTGCTCTCTTGGCTTTGAAGGGGGATTTAAGAGAGAGGTGGCCGGAGCAGAGGTAAGTATTGAATTCGAATCCTGGTAGCCACACATTTCTGAAAGCAATAAAGCTATCCTTTGAAGCTACTTCCCTTCTGGCGGTCCTAGTCCGGACCCCCAAAGAAGTCTCCTGAGGACCCAGAAGTTTGTGAAAATTGGAGACATGGAGTGGAAGGCCTTAGTATTTTTCTTCTTTCTTCCCTCTAGGCGAACGGATCGTGGAGGATCTGGAGCAGACGCAAACGGGACTTTCCTGCCTCCTTCCACAGAAGTCACCATTAAAGGATTGGCTTGGTGTTGACTTTGCCAAAATAGACCTTCGGTTGTAGCAGAAACAGCGCCCTTGAGTGCCCGGCGGTGGCGGCGGCGAATATGCAGGACATCTGCCCAGCCCCGGAGTCTTTCTTTCCGTTTGCACCTGCAGTAGGAGAAGAGGAGAACTGAACTTCAGATGGATTGACTCCATAGAGGAAGCCACAGTTTTGAGTTCCAAAGACCCAAAAGCAGGACTGGCAATGACAGGAGGGGGGGGGGCTTCTTGAAGTCACTCACTCAGAAGGTCATCCGTAAAGTCAGAAGTGACTTGACAGGATGTAACAACGGCTTGTTCTTAGGGCGAGAGTCGGAACGGGATGTGGGCCTCTTTCAACGCCACCCAGCAATCCGTTTAAGGCTGATCCAGTTTGGGCCAAAAGAGCAGCGCGTGAAATCTAAGCGGCTGTGTGAGGGTCGATTCGGCCGCTGTCCCAAATTCGGTACAAAGAGTGGGGTGAAGAAAAAGATCCGGAGCTTTTGGATAGATACCCTGTCTTCTAATAGGAAATAAGGAAATTTTTTTGAAAGCTTTGATTGTTTTTTAAAATGTTTTAATTTCATGTATTTTTATGTGTTGAGTTTATGGCTGATTTGTATTTTATTGTATCTATTTTTTGTTATGTTGAATGGTACTTGTTGGTATTTATATGTTGTAAACTGCCCAGAGTGGCCTTGGCCAGATGGGCGAGATGAAAAAAATAAACAAATTGAAAAAAAATATTTTTTTTTAAATTACATGACATGAAATGAAGTACGTTTTTCCCCCCTTTCAGGCAAAGTCAGACTGCTGCAAAGATACTGTCTGTCTGTTCTCACATTTTCCTCATGTTTTTGGCACTGAAAGGGACTGTGTTACTGTGACGAAAGGTGGGCAAGGGTGCCTGGGATTTAAGCCGCAAACAAGACCCACGATGAGTGTGTTTGCACAAACAGAATCTGTACTGAGGTGACAGATTCATGAGGTCAACCTAAAAGTACACAAAAAAAGGGCCACACGGTTGTCTCAAAACACACAACAGCCAATCCCACCCACTTGCCCAGAATAAAGGGGGGGGGGGGAGTAAAAATCATCCTTTACATATTGATCAAGAAGCAGCTGAAGTGGTTGTTCTTTAGATTATAAGCAGCAGCAGCAACAACGATGATGATGATAATGTGATAATTTGATTAAAACTTATGTTTGTAATTTAATACCAGTTACAACCTGTGTCTTGCCTTTTCAAATGCAAAAAATAGGCCATATCTTTATAGACCTCTTAAAAAAATCATCATACCATAAACAGCATGTTTATGGTATGATGATTTTTTATTTTTATTTTTATTTATTTATTTTTTTTTGGTGGTGGTCTATAGAGGTATTGCCTGGTTTTGCATTTGCATTTCACTTTGTTTTCACCACAGGGCTACCCTGTACTTCAACTGTATCTTTGAATAACAATAACAACAACAATTATAATAATAATAATAGAAGAAGACAAGAGGGGCCCTGGGCAGTCCTTTGAGAGACCATGCAAGAGCCATAAAAATACTGTATTTCAAAGCAGTGGCAGAGACCAGAAATCACACCATCAGAGCTACCCCCCCCCCAAAAAAGGCAATATTAGGAGCAGCACGCATCCTGCACCGATATTGAACCGATTTGGGGTGAGAACGTGTCTCTGCTGTGTTGTTGCTTTTTTTAAAAAAAATCCTCTTTCTGGGGTGACCGTCCTTGGTCCTGCTGACCGGCCGCAAGGGAGCCACCGGGCCGGCCGGGGGAGGGGGGGTGTCGCGTGTCTTTTCCGTCCCCTTCGGGGCGGGACGGAGGCGGGAGGCCGATCCCCCTTTTCCCCGGGCCTTCTCCGCCTCCCTCTCCGCCCCTTTCTTCCCTTCCTCCCTTCCCGGGCGGAGGCGGCCATGGGCTCCCGAGCCAAGCACCAAGAGCCGGAGCCTCCGGTCGACCTCTACCGCGACACGTGGGTGCGCTACCTGGGTAAGCGGCGGTCGTGGGGACGCGCCCGGGAGCGGCAAGGGGCAGGGGGGGGAGTCTCCTCC